GTAAAAACATTTCAATAGAAATCTATAACCCTCCGCAAAGAGCCCACTCGGGCACTCAGGGCGCCCCAGTCGAGGTAGCGCCTGTACTCCCCCGGCCTCAGCAGGTACTGTCGCCCCAGGTAGTTGGGCAGCTCATAGAGGACCCAGTAGCCCTCTAGCACGTGGAAAGAGTGGATGTCACTGAAGTGGAAGCGGTCCTGAAGAGAGGAGCAGTCCTCGGTGATCTCTACCATCTGGCCCCTGTAGTCCTCTCGCTCATAGATCCTGATCCTGTGAGAGCTGGACTGTGGGTCCAGCAAGAGCAGACGAGGGGACATCAGAAAACCTGACCGCATTTTAACAACCTATCGCACCTGTCCCTGGGTATGGGCACTTCTTTACTTTTTCATAACAAGGTGACCAAATTAAGAGACTGCCCAAACCAGCACCTCTACAAAAGTGAAACTCAAGAGGGCGCCATCCACCAGTCCTTTGACATGAAGGATGCTCCTTACAGTTTTCTGGTACCACAAGCTGCAGGAACCATATGAGTGGCCCTGCTCAGGACCATTTTGAAGTAATCACTTTTTATGTATTTGTTTTGTTCTTTCTGTCTTAGATTTGTGGTGGTCTAACTAAGGCTTTCCTTGCATGACATACAAAATAATTAGACATCAGAGTAAAAAGACATATACACCTCTGGCAAAAGGCATCGTTTTGAATCTCAGAGAGGAAGTCAGATTGCTTTTCCTACAAGAGGCACAGACTGACTGCAACTCAGGAAGAAAGCTCAGGCCCAGCAGCCCTGCTGTCCCTTTCTGTTTCAGGATAACAAATGTATCTCAAGATTGGGCTTGGGATCCCTGCTCTAACATAGGCTTCTGCTAATCAGTTTCAGGTGATGGACAAAAACTTAAGTTCAAGTTCATGAAGGAGGCCTGTACAGGGTCAAAAGTATAGAATTTTTAGAAACATGGAAGTGAGGCTGTTTGTGCTGAGCAAATCCTCTCTCTTGAGCTCCTGCTCTTCCTACATTTGCTTGTTTCTTCCCAGCAGGCACCTGTTGTCTCAGTGTCTTTCTTCTTCGTCCTCAAGGAAGGATTCTCATAAACCACTCAGTATGAGGTATAACTGATTGCTCATAAGGTATCTTCCCTAGGGTTAGTGTTTTATGGCTTGCAAAGGACTCACATGTGTGGATCTGTACGACAGCCTGGCATGTGTGGAACTACCATTATAAGCCCTTCCTTCTTTTATAAGAAAATGAAGTCCAGAGCTTACAGCCTGGAGTCACAAGTCAGGATTAAAAAGTGGAAATTTTATAAATGACTTTGTTTTCTCTAATTAGGAGGGTAGTGACCAGATCTGAGGTCAGAAGGGGGCCACAGCAGGGGGTATTTTGACTAAACAGCATTTTTTTTTTCATGTGAAAATATGGGACCTAGGGAAGAATTTACTTTCTCCACAGGATGCTTAAAAAAGGACCTGGATTTTTCTCTAAAGGAACCTCACTATGATCCTCTGTGCTGATAAGCAGAGCAATCAGTACATGTTTAGGCTCCTAATTGCATTCTAGGTCCTATCTGGGTATTATACACTTTGAGGGGTTTCAAACTTCACAAAAGTAGTTCATTTTCCATATTAGAGAATCCACTGTGGAATTCCTGGCTCTGGGACTTGATTTGGATAACAGAGGGCTTTCCAGGAGTTCTGTGAATCTTGCTGTTTCCTTGTTTGGTCTTATCAAAAGGCCAGAGAACCTTGATGTTCATAAGAGTTAATTCTAACCTGGGAGGGAGGGGCCACTCGCCAGGTGTCAGGTAACCTCCTTTCATCCTTATCTTGAACCTCCTTTTCTCCTGTATTCGCCATCTGAAGAAAGTGAGAAAGGGCCATGTAACCAGCCTAAAGACCAATTGATGGCACAAAGTTATCTATTGCGCATTCATCCCCTGTGGCCAATACGTTCTGAATTAAACCTTGCACTAAGCATTCCCAGCAGAGTGGAATTTGATTTAGCAAAGTAAAAACAAACTGTCCAGTTAAAAGCTTTGCACATACACTTTTCAGTGGAAGGAAACCTTGAAGATGTTAATAAACAGAGAGCGACTATAGTTATGGCCAGAAAGAAGGCGACAGCCATCCCGCCCTTAGTCCAAGGTGTGAACAACAAGTCTGGATCACTGGATCACAGGGCAGGAAGGGACCTGGGAACCGGACTCACGTGGGGGATGAGGCGACAGGAGCGGACAGAGTCGCTGAGGCCCATCCACTGCTGGTAGTC